ACAGGAGAGCATCAATGGAAGAATAATTTATTCTCAAGTGAAAGAGATCCAAAAGTATGCATGAGGCCAATAAAAGTTTCTGCCCATTATAAAACTTATTTTTCCCCAATGAAAAGTCCTTGCCCAGACACAAATATGTGGGTCCTAAGAGGTATCCTTGGAGTTGTCTAACTCAGGAGCTTTTTTTTTTCCACTCTGTAACAATCTCACCAGACATTCCATAGTGATCTTAATATACTGCTGCACCTTTTGAATCAAAATATGAATACATGAGCTTAAAGCTCTACTCTCTTACTACAATCTTTAGATCCCCATCATTGTGTATCTGTTTTGTAGCCAATAAAACTCCACAGCGCCTGCATCGATGTCTTTTTTTACCTCAAGGTCTCTTCCTAATGAGGGATCCTCAGAGCATTGTCAATAAAAGATCCAGAAGGACCTTAATATCCATAGCATCCACACACTGGGCAGAATTATTATCCTGCAGCCATGCAACCTAGGGACAAATGTGGCTCACAACTCTCTCCAGACTCCTGCCAGCAGGAAGGGGGAAAATAGAGATGGAGAAGCCTAGAAAACCTCACTGAGAATGTGAGATGACCAAAAATTATTCTATCTCAGAAATAATTAAGCAACCAACCAACCAATCTTAAGGACTTAAAAGAGAGTTAAAGCTAGAAACAAAAATTCAGAAAAAAAAAAACCTCATTATAGATAGATACAAAGACCATGTACGGCTAAGTTTGATAACCTACTGTTTTAGCTTCAGGTGAGTGTTTTTGTATTTGTATGTTCCCCGTATTACTAATTTTTTAATACTCTCATGAGAATTAATGACAGCTGATAGAAAAGTAAGACTCTCCTTCATGTCACTCCCAATTGCTTGTGAGTAGAGTTTCATTTCGCAGAATTTCAGAGCACAGCTTCCAGAAGGAAGAGCTGAATGGAAACGCAGAAGTAAGATGAATACATTAAAAAAAGATTTCACAAAACTCTGCAAACTTACTTCCATCTCAGTCTAGTAAAATCTCTTTCAGGTGCTTAATCAAATATTTTGCCACAGCATTAGGGTCCTATAATGAATTTCTATGATAAAAATTTGCTATGTTATTTAAACCTCCTCATTTCTTTTACCTCTTATATTTTCTTCACAGCAAAGTAAAATAGTAACATGTACAGGTAAGAGACTCCTAGGGAAACCACCTCTAAGCCGACTGACTAAAAATTTAATTTTGGGAACAACTAAGTAAAATTTTCCTTAAATATCAAATTGCTTTACTATTTCTCAAATGCATATTTTATATCTCTAATAATTATCAGGCATCAAACATAGTTCAAATTTAAAAAATACTATCATGAGAAGAAAACACAGCAATCAACTGATTAAACTTTCTTGTTTAAGAGATGATGAAGCTAAAGTCTAGAGAGTTTAGCCAAGCCCTCCTGGGACTCGAATCTCATTCCTACCTATATGTAACCTATATCTAGCATCTCTGACATATAGAAACATCAGAATTGAAAGCATCACGTACTTTTAAAAACTCATAGCAAATTAAAAATAACAATTCTAAATGTGTGAACTATTGAAAAGCCAAAATACTTAAGGTATACAATCTTAAACTGGAACAAATTTGTAAAAATGCCAAGAATTGCAAGAAAAAAGTAAGCCTGAGATAAGTACTAGAGTTTGGCTATTTTTCCTTTCTTTACAGATGGTCTTAAACAAATTATTTAACACAGACTATATGTAGCATGGAGATTTTAAAAAGTTTACATAGTGTCAAATAATATAGCATATCATTTCTTTGGGATAAGAATAACATTACTCCAAAAATACTTTTTATGTACATTAGCAATATTGTATCATAGTTACATTATACCTATTTAGCCTTTCATAATAGAAAATGGATACTAAACAATGGCACTATTTTCTGAGTATGCATTAATTATTGGTGGCCACAATGAATCCATACCAGCAGGACTCATGCCTTTCTGTATTCTCTCCCACGTTTACCCTAGGCTTGGCCATGTGACTTGATTTGGCCAATGGAATATCAGCAAGCATGACACAGAGATTTAATAAATGTTTACACATTGGGGCTTATCATCTTGAAATGTTTACACGTTGGGGCTTATCGTCTTGGAATGTTACCTCTAGGAAGCTAGCACCATGTAAGAAGTTTATTTACCCTAAGACTACCACGCTGTGTGGAAATCTAAGCTAGCCTCATGGAGAGGCCACATGAAAGAAAACTGAAGAACCTAGCCAAAGCCATAACTCCAGACATGAGTCTGATCAAGCCATTTCAACTAGTTTCCAGCCAACTGAGCCAACTCGGCCGAGGCCCCAGATACCATGGAGCAGAGATAAGCCACCCCCAGTATTCTGAAACTGAAATTCTGATCCTCAGAATTATGAACAAATAAAATGAGTTGTTGTTTTAAGCCAGTAAATTTTGGGGTTATTATTTCATGTGGCAATGAATAAGTAAAACAAATCATTTAAAAAGCAGAGCCTATTATTTGCTCATCGACAATAGCTGATTTAAGGCTAGTCCATTAGCATCCCACCAGAATTTCCACCAGAATTTTAGTTATTTTAACACTGAAATGGATCTCTACAAGATTCCTGGTCCAATAAGCATAGATGAAACACCAAAGGTTGCAAGAGAAAAGCCAAGGTCTTCTCTCTTCAAAACTGGCAGAAGGCAGAGGTCCATTCAAGATGGCGGAGTAGGTAAAGACTGGGCTCTCCTACTCCCACGACCACATCAAAATGACAGCTAAACTCCAGAACAACCATCATTGAGACTCACCTATAGTCTAGCTGAACAGAAGTCCTATAACTAAGGAAATACAGAGAAGCCACATTGAGACTGGCAGGTGAGGCAGAAATACATAACGGGCTGGTCCCACGCCCATGTGTGGCAGTTAAAATTCAGGGGGGATATCTCGGCTGCAGAGATCCCCTCTGAGGAGCACAGGGTCCCAGCCCTACACCAGTCTCCCCAGCTCAGGGTTCCAGTGCCAGGAAGAGAAATCCCTATAACTTTTGGCTGTGAAAAGCAGTGGAGATTGTGGCCAAGTGAGACAGGCCAGCTTGAGTCAAAGGCACTCCTCTTACAGGACCCAAACATGGACTTACTTGCTGACAGACTCACTCACTCTGAGCTCCAACGCTGGGGTAACAGCTTGAAAGGTGCCAGAGACATACGGGGAGGAACTAAATTGGCTTCAGGGCAAGGGCTGGAGGGGCAGCTTTCTCCCGGACACAAGAAGTACTGGCAGAGGCCACTGTTCCTTTATTGAGCCCTCCTCCCACCCACCCCGTCTGCACGCAGGTGAGCACGATATCTGAGTCTCCATCATCCTAGCTAACACCATTCGCCTGGCCCTGGTGATTTCCTGAGACCCCACCCCACCCAACTTGCAGGCCCACCCAAGCTGCTTCCAGTGGCTTTTCCATACAAATGGCCTATCTTGGCTCATGCTGTGGACTTTCCTAAAATCTCTCAAAAGTTCCAAACTCCAGACAAGCAGCATCTGACCTCAGCATGACCCATACCTCTTGGTAAGCAGCCTCAGTTCACAGCATAGCCTCTCCCAGGCACCTCCAAGCCCAGCACAAGTGGCAACCATCAGCAAATTTGTTTGTAACTCATACCAAGTGGCCCCAGGCAGAGCACAGGCAGCAGCTGACCTTGGCTTGCACCCAAGCCCCTCACAAGAAGCCCCAAAACCAACACACCCAATGGCCAACTTCGCATCAGAGCACCAACCAACCACCTCCACAAACGACACACCCAAAGGGCAGACTTAGCAGGCACCAGAGCCCCGCTAAAGTAAATTCTGTTCCACAGAGTCAGCCCCTGCACAACAGCTCCTCCATTTTAGTCACAGCCAGTCCTCACGAACAATCAGCCTGAGGGTCAGTCCCTCTCGCTGATGTGCAAACAGCAATCAGGGCTCAACTACAACAGGAGGACGCAAACAACTCACACAAGGGACACACTTGGAGCACACAGCTCAGGTGACTAGGGAGACTGCACCGCTGGGCCCCATGGCACATTTACTACATAAGGCCACTCTACCAAGACCAGGAAACATAGCAGCTCTACCTAATATATAGAAATAAACAGAGGGAGGCAGCCAAAATGGGGAGACAAAGAAACACGTCCCACATGAATGAACAGAACAAAGCTCCAGAAAAAGAACTCAAAATGGAAAAAAGCAATCTACCAGATTCAGAATTCAAAACACTGATTATAAAGACACTCAATGATCTTAGTGAGAACTTCAACAAGGAGATAAAAGATATAAAAATTAGGATTGAAAATATTTAAAAAGAATCAGTCAAAAATAAAGAATACAATAACTAAAAGGAAGAACAGATGAGAGGGAATCAATAGTAGATTAGATGAAGCAGAGGACTGAATCAGTGATTTAGAAGACGAGGGAGCAGAAAACACCCAATCAGAACAGCAACAAGAAAAATAATCCAAAAAATGAGGCTAGTTTAAGGGACATCATCTCTGGGAGATCATCAAGGGTACCAACATTTGCATCATAGGGGTACCAGAAGGAGGAGAGAGAGAGCAAGGAATTAAAAACCTATTTAAAGACATAATGACAGAAAACTTCCCTAACCTGGTGAAGGAAATAGACATACAATCACAGGAAGTGCAGAGTGTCCCAAACAAGATGAAGCCAAAGAAGCCCATACCAAGATACATAATTAAAATGCCAAAGGTTAAAGACAAAGAGAATCTTAAAAGCAGCAAGAGAAAAACAGTTATCTGCAAGGGAGCTCCCATGAGACTGTCAGCTGATTTCTCAACAGAAACTTTGCAGGCCAGAAGGGACTGACAGGAAATATTCAAAGGGATGCAAAGCAAGGACCTAAAACCAAGATTACACTACCCAGCAAAACTATCATTTAGAATTGAAGGACAGATAATGAGCTTCCCAGAAAAGAAAACGCTAAAGAAGTTTATCACCACCAACCCAGTATTATAAGAAATATTAGAGGTTTCTTTAAGAAGAAGAAAATTAAAAAATATGAATAACGAAATATCAATAACTATATATCTATCAATAATTACTTTAAATATAAACGGATTAAATGCTCCAATCGAAAGACATAGGGTGGCTGAATGGATAAGAAAACAATACCCTTACATGTGCTGCCTACAAAAGACTCACTTCAGATCAAAAAACACACACACAG